TTTATCACACAGTTTACCCTCTGAACGCAGAATGACTAGTCTCGAAAGATAGAAAACACCGGGTACAGCGTGACAGATTATATAAAATAAAAGAGAAAAATACCCTTTGCGGCATATCGATATCAAGACGCAAAACATCTGGTCACTGTTAGGGTGCTAAGGGAGAGATTCACAAGAGTGACTATCTTTGCAAAGTTGGAGATAAAAGGGCGAGATGGCAAGAATATTCTGAGCTAGTCGCTTTGTTTCTCATTGGAATTCAGCCCATGGAGATACTTATATTGGCCGAGGACGAGTACTACTGGAAAGACCTTCAGAAATTGTTGCCTTGTCAAGCTGAAAACAGCAGTGATTGGCAAAAGTGCATTGGTGGATTTGGAAATTTGCGTACTATGCGATTATACCAGTACTAAAAGGACATTTACTGTCGCTGGCTCTGACGGAAGAAGCATTATTATAACAGATTATTATTCGTTTAATATAAACATAGGAACCTAAGGATCAGAGGACACCTATGCCATCACTTGCCAGGTATCCATCTATTCACTGAGAGTCACTTTTCATTTTCGCCGATAAATCGCTGTAAAGTATTTATCAGCTTAGTGCATCAAATATACAATCGAAACTTAGCATTACCTACACAGCATGCTTCAAAAAAAGAGAAGGAAAATAGACTTACGTCCATTTCACAAAGTACTCCGGACATACTGATTTGATCGTTGAGTGACTGAATCTTCGATTCGCCAAATCGTTTCAGGGCGGCCGCCATCGCAATCAGCTACATGCCACGATTTAGCGGCGCACTTAATACATGTCATCAGCAAAAGAATATTACCTGCTGCTCAGCCTCAGGTGAGGTCGGAGGGTAACACGACCAAAACCTGCATAGCAGCTGACAGGTAAAGAATTGCAGCGCCGAAATCTCTTGCATGACGTCCGGTTTAATAATATCTGAAAAACAGCGTAATAATATGAAAAACGAACATTTGCAAATTGAAGGAAAGAACTACCATTCAAGTTTGGTTCGTCCTCGACGAAAAAACCGTCGCTCGCGCTAAAACTCAGTTGGGCATTTTCTTCAAGTAACTAAAAAAGTTATGCAAATGAAATAACGTCGCAAATATTGAGAAATTTAAAAAAAAACAGACGAGGTAATATGCAAGGTACAGCCTTAATACGCGCTGAACAAATCAAGCCATTAACTTAAATGATAAGCCTTAATTTAGAGCAACGCGGATGCAAATGTATTATTCAGTTCCTCGATCAGATTGTCGTAGACAGGTTTTATATCGCGAAAAGAGTTTACTACACCGCTCAGCTAAATGGACCGAGTTTCGACCGGTATCTCACAGGCTTGCTTCAAGTAAAAGATGCTGGTTCATTTCGGAAGACTTTTCTGTCATTCCTAAAGGTTTCTACGTTCCGACCGACAATATCTGTTCCTATTTGCATTATTATTATTTATTAAAATGAATCCTGTTTTAAGCAGTTTTCACTGAAGTATTTATTAACAGTCTTATTAACAAACTGCTAAACATCTCATCAGTCCGGTCAGACATCAACTGATATAGCGCAATTGCATATTTAACTTCGCAGTCTATAATTATAACCGATGGCTACTTGATCAAAATGTCGAAATTGCTCTTTTTAGTTAAGGTGTCGAAAACTAGCAGACTGCAATCAAATCCATAATACCTCTAGTATATAAATTTTCGTATATGCGCCTACATATCAAGGTATGTTTTTGTTCGACGCAACAAAGTAATGATGTTTCGCGACCATGCATTACAAGGCTAGTTAAACGATACCTACAGGCGAGTAGAAGCAAAGAGACTGCACTACACCGTGTAAATCTGAAAAGTGACAGCAAATCAGATATAAACTTTGTTAGCTGCCTTTCATGTACTAACGATGAAATCAGAAGATACGCTCTCTGGTCAGCCAAGTAACGGCATCGGTACCACTTTAAGAAACGATTTACACATATTTACATACAGCGAATTATCGTAATAAGCGGCATGTCATTAAGTCGAACTAAATATGCATTTACGTAACGATATTCAGTTAACACTTAATTTAAAGGATGCAACAAATATAAGTGTATATTATTTCTGCTTACCACGTCAGTACTTTCTTCCGATGACCAAAATTCTTCTGACTGCTTGACCACATCGAAAAGTCTTCTTCTCTCCTGCTCTGAGTACTGGCAGGAAGACGAAGGTTGAAACAGTGGCTTCGTGCCTGGCGGAGGTAAATGAAGAGGGGGCGGTGCGTCGGCGCCTTCGACGACCACAACATTTCCATTGGCACTTAACTGTAAGAGTGTAAGAGAAACAGACTTTAAGCGGATTAATCAAAAATTGAGAATCAATTATCGCGTTTTCTTTAAATATCTCACGGACGCCAGTGATCGACGCGCGCAGAGGAATAAGATGTTGTAATAATAGAAGACTGTTGGCTTCTTCATTACAGTGCTAGCTGATATATCAATTAACAAAACGTAGTTACCACATAATAAACAATTCTTCCAAGCCCAGATTTTACGGCATATTTCATCGGCTCCATTGTTCCTAGTTATCCCGGGAGGGTAGTTATTTAAGCATGCCTCGGATCTATGGCCTTTAAGCATCTACAGTACCAAATACAACTCGCCTCATTTTGTCCGCTAGCGTTACATGGCGTTCATCACGAACGATGTTTCGCGAACTGGTAATGGTACTAAGACAACGGCATAAACATCATAAGCTCTTACCAAAACCAAGTATGTCAAATAAAAGATGATTCATCGAAGATCAGATTTCGTAGACGCGAAGTAATTGGTAATTTCATAGCAATTTAATAACACAAATGCATGAACAAAGTTCGACTGGAGGCTATAGTTATTTCCATCATTGTCGCTACTATCTCAGCAGTGAAGTTTGCATCTGGCAACACCGACGTATACTGCAGCATCATCTCCCTCAAGACTGCTCAACATGATACGAAACATAGTCCACCTCCGTGTTTAAAATTATCTCGAGATTATTGCAGAATAAACGGCTAGGCTAGTTTATCAACGTTTGGTTCTACTGCCCAGTAACTATACCGTATATGATAATTAAACCTCTAATTTAGTGAAATGCATAAGAAAATCTACAGATACAGTATACCCAATTAAATATTATATTAATATATCACTGCATTTAGATCTGAAGAAAAAATAGCATAAAAATGGAAGAATTACCCACAACGCAATATAGTGGTCTACTGGGTAATCAGTGGATGATACCCACGTTTCGATCGGAACTTCA